CGCCCTTGTTTTGTGTGCCACCCCTTCCCGGCCCGGGGCCTACTCCGACCGGGAGCTCCATCCTTTCCTGCCTGCGGAGTTGACGATGCTCAGATCTTCCTGTGGAGAAGGGCCCACTTCCGGCTCCGTGCTCAGTGGCCTCCGGGGCACTCAGAACCACGTCTTGCCATCTGACCCGCCCACCTATCATTCCTGCACCCGGGTTCCTGACCGACCTTCTCCTCCTCTCCTCTATTCCCTGCTTGTCAAACCCCTACTGACCTTCACGACCCCCTCTGCACGCCCGTCTCCGTTACCTCTCTGTTGCTGCGCTAGGACACCACCGGCAAGGCACGGTACAGAAGAAAGGTTTGTCAGGGCTTACAGCGCCAGAGGTCAGAGTCCCTGAGCAACGCGGTGGCAAGCGTGGCAGCGGGCAGGCGGGCAGGCATGGCCTGGAGCGGTAGCTCAGAACTCACATGCTGAGACACAACCATAAGACAGACAGAGAGGGCTAACGGGGGATGGCATGGAATTGTGAAACCTGGAAGCTGGCCCACAGTGACACGCCTCCTCCAAGTCCACACCTCCTAATCCTTCCCAAACAGTTCCCCTGGGGGGACCAGGTTTTCAAACATAGACGCCAAGGGGGCCCATTCTCATTCAAGCCACCCTGCATGCCCTTCCGAGGTGAGGCCCCTAGAGTTCCTAGAAACCAGGTTTCCAAGCCTGAGGCCCGGCTTTACTTTCCTGACTTTTTTTTCCCCTCCATTCCTGCTGTTGTACCCTGGGAACAAGCCCCAATGAAAAGATTCATGTTATATTCACCTTTGTACCGGGAGGCCCCGCACCTCCATCTGAAGCTCATGAATTTTACGGCAGCCCGTTTTTAGCTTCAAGGCCTCTGCACACTCCTGCTCATCCAGACAGACATTAGTTTCATGTGTTTACAGAAATAATACCATAAGCTTTTACTGCCCAGACTAGAAAGTAGACTGTATTGCCAGTCTGTTTTTCCTGTTCTGTGCTAGGCTCTTGGCTCTTATGTGTAACTATTTAAAGCAACCACTGGCTGGGCGGTGGTGGCGCACGCCTTTAATGCCAGGACTATGGAGGCAGAGGCAGGAGAATCTCTGAGTTTGATGCCAGAGCGAGTGCCAGGATGGCCAGAGAAACCATGTTTTGAAAAACCACCCACCAATCAGTCAATCAATTATTATATTACACATTGCCTAGACCACAATGCTCTTTCTTTCTCCAGGGGTTCGCCTACGGCCCCCAGCTCACTGCTGATGAAAGTTAGACAAGATCATATGACTGACTCCAGACAAGGAAGCCGGGGCTGAGGCCAGCCTTCCTGTCCTCCTCCGTCAGGGCAAAGGCAAGGACTCACAGTCTGATGGTGGTCTCACTACGCTATGGTAGAGCCAAAGTCAGCCTGGATCCCCATCCCCGAGAGACTGTATGGAGCAGGGTGTCCCACAATTTCTTCAGGATAGACAACGGAGAGGTAGCCTGTGACAGCCTTTCTGTCAACTTGACCCAAAAAAGCAAGGTGAGTGAGCCATGGACAACAAGCAAGCAGGTAGCCAGAGTTTCCGAAATGTCCCTCAGTGAGGGTCTGTGCCCTGGAGCTGTAAGAGAAAACTAACCCTTTCCTTTCCAAGTTGCTTTTAGTCAGCGTTTCTTCACAACAACAGAAACCCTAACCAAGACATTCATGGAACCATCTTGAGGGCCGGCCTGCTCACTTTTGTTTGTTTGTTTGTTTTTGTTGTTTTTGAGGTTCTGATATAGCCTGGAGCTGGCTAGGCGGGCTGTCTGGGGAGTCTCAGCAATCCTCTATGCTTCCAGCTTCTTAGGGCTGGGAGGTTACGAGAGAGCATGCAGCTAGGCCTGGCTCATTCCTGTGGGTGCTGGGTTTTGAACTCGGGTCCTACACTTGCAAGGCAAGCAACTTCACCAACCGGGCCCCAGAGGAATTCATTTCTAGCAAAGGAACTCCAGTTGTGGGGAGCTGGACACGTTAGAGAAGCCTCAGTTCTGCCTCAGATTTCTCAAGGATCTGATACTACGTCCCTCGCGTTAGGCCATTTTCTGTTCTGTCTTTGTTCTGGGGTCGCCTTTCTTGGGAGTGTGTGCGGAGGTGAATTCTCTGGAAGTCTGACCGTCCCTGTTTGGGACTCCCCAGTCCTTTTCTGGGAAATGGTGATATGGTACCCACACTTCCTCTCTCTTCCTGGGCAGCTCGGGCAGCTAGTAGAGAGCCTTCTTTCTATCCTCCTTCAGTCTTGGTCCCACTTTTCCTTTCTGTCAGCCTCAGAGGGGGCTCTGCCAGGCTCTGTCTCCTTCCACCACTGGCTGTGGCCTGAGACCAGCAGCAAATCCGAGGCTCAGCAGCCTGTGGTGGGTCGGGACTAGCTCTCTGGCCTCCAGGAACATGTCTTGACATGTCCAGCCCCGGGACTGAAGAGGCGGGGCTGCTCCGTGCAGGGAGGTGGGGACGTGAACCTATGCAACTACCTGCTGTGGAGGGAGGAAGGATGCGAAGGGAGGCAGAGACCCCTCCCTATACAGCCAAGATGCTCCACCCCGAGAGCCTGAGCTTCTGCCTGCAGAACATAAGACACCGCGCATCTTGTGACATGTGCCAGGGGAAGGGCACTTTGTGTATGTGTCTCTGTGTGCCTAGGGGGTCAGGTACTCTGTCTATGGCCTTACTCTTTGTTGTTTAGGAGGATGAAGGGCCCCTCCGACCCTGTGCCTGGCTATCCATTCAAGTGCAATTGGGTGCCTGACTATACATTCAAGTGCAAAGCCAAGATTGTTTGTTAGAGACCGAGCAGTCCTAGACTTAATAAATATTTGTTGAGTACTTTTGTGGCGCTCCGGGAAGCCAGAAGTTATTTTAAAAATCTCTCCAACGTCAACAGGGCAAAGGCACGGGAGGTCACAGCAGTCAGCAGTTTGCTGCAAGCCTTTATTAAAACTGTTTTCTCCCAAAGTAAACAGACAGACAATGTCACGTCTATCTGAAATGCCTGGAGGCCAAGGGGATTTGGGCAGTTGGACATCCTGTGCTGGCCCGTGACAGCCCAGCCCTGGGGATGGTTCAGGAGCTGGGTATGGTGGGAGTGGTCCTGAGGTCTGTCTCTCGTCCTGGCTTCAGTCCAGAGCCAGGCTGTTGAGGGGGGTGGGGAGGGCGCCCCCAACCCTCCCCAGGCTTCCATCCCCCACAGAAGAGGAGGTCTGTCCTCCTTAGGTCAGCTAAACCAGCAGAGGAAGCCTGGGCATGTCTGGGCAGAGAGCAGCTGTCAGAATTTACAGCTGCTCCAGAGGAGGAGTCTATTCTGTTTTTCGTTTCTGTTTGTTTTGAGAGAGGGGTCTGCTTCTGTGTTTGAGGCAGGGTCTCCGTAACCTAGGCCGGCCTCAGGCTTGCTATGTAGCCAAGGATGGCCCTGATGAATTGCTGCTCTACCTCCTGAGGGCTGGGATTGCAGGCATGTACCTCTGTGCGAGACTGAGACGGTGGTCTTGTTATATAGCCCAGGCTGGACCACATTGCAAGACTGCCTCAAGAAAACCCCCAGTGGGTGTGGTGGCTCAGACCTCTAGTCAGGAAGGACGCTAAGGCAGGAGGATTCCCTTGAGTCTGAGGCCACCTTGGGCAACACAGCAAGACCTTGTCTCAGAAAACCCAAAGCCGGAGAAAACAGAAGGGACTGGAGACACGGAGGAAGGTGGGAACTGACGACACCCCGGTTCTGTGTGTCCGGCTCGTCAGCGGGTATTTCTAGAACTGTCCTTTATCAGTGTCGTCCCAGCAATCTGACCAGAACCGAGGGGTACTTCGGTGTGTCCCTCATTTTGGACCCAGAAAAAGAAGGCAGTAAGCAGAGAGCTCTGGGCAGCGCAGCAGACCCCAAGCAAGGCCGGTCCTTGGTTGTGTGGTCTGGGCTAGGTCTGAGCAGTGTAAGCTGCTGTGTGAAAATGTCCTCACGCTGGCCCCTGCAGAGGTGAGTGGGAGAAACTGCCTGTGTCTTTCCTGGTAGCCAGTGTCACTCTCTGGACTCAATTTCCTCTCTTTCTCAGGCAGCTGACAGCAAATTTTGGCATCCTCTGCCTCTGCGGGCCTGTTTTTCTCAACTGTGAGGAGGAGAAGATCGAGTTCTGGACCTAAAGATGGTTGTGGGGTATCTGGGTGCCTCAGCTGCTTCTGGGAAAGGCGGCCTACCGAGGGAAGGTCTCCAGGAAGAGCGGGATTTCTTGGAACTTCAAAGAAAGTTTCACTACATTTTTTTTTTTAAAGGATCGTTTTGTTTTGAGAGGGTCTCACGGTGTAGCGCAGGCTGGTCTTGAACCTGTAACACCCTCCCTGCCTCAGTCTCTCACGGGTAGGATTTCAGGCCCTTGCCATCACTCAACTTGGATACTGATTGATTTCTTTGTATCTGTAACATTTGTCACGTATTTCAGGCTGTTCTGCCTCAAGACCACCTCGAACGCCCGCTCCCCCCTGTCTCCACCCCCTCACCCCAGCGCTGTCATTACAGACGTGAACCCTTAGGCCTAGTTTTCGGGGTACTGGAGGCCGACCCAGGGCTTCCCGCAAGCTGGGCAACCATGCACCCACGGACCCATCCACCTCCCCTAGCCCCAGGCTTTTCTCTAACTCACATCAGTGATTTTTTTTTTTTAGAAAGGATCTCGGTCCTTTCCCAGAGCTGCTCGGGAAACATACCGGTCAACGCGCAGCCCCTGACCGTCTACACAGGCGTGTGGCTCGGCTGGCTGGCGGGGGACGCGACGAGCAGATGGCCCAGGTGTGGGGGGAGGGGAGGGGAGGAGAGGGCGCGCCCTGTCGGCGCGCGCGCGGGCCCGGGCCGTCCGGAGCGGAGTCAGGCGCGGGCTCAGCTTCCCGGAGGGGAGGGCGGGCCCGCGCTTCCCCGGGTGGGCGGGGCGGAGCCGGCTGGCCACGCCCCCGGCGGGACGGGGCGCTGCGGACTCTATAAGAGCGCAGCCCCGAGCCGGCTGCACCAGCCGAGAGGTGTGAGCTGCCGCAGCGTGAGGGAGTCGAACGCGGAGCCAGCGCGATCGCGAAGCGTTCAGAGGTGAGGGCGTCGCGGCAGGGCAGCGGGGTCCCCCCCGGGCAGCTCCGCGCTGAGCCCCACGGCTGTGCCCAGAGGCGCGTGCGCGCATGCGTGCGTGCGTGCGTGGGGATGCGGGTCATCCTCCCCGGCGGCGGCGTGTGTCTGCGTGCGCCCGCCGGACTCCCAGGTGTGTCCGCGGCAGGTGGATGACGGGGGTGGGTCTGAGCGCCGCCGGCTCCGTGTGTTGGAGTGTGTCACGGGGACAGGCTTGGGGCGAGCCGGTTACTGGGGTCCGATCCCACGGTGGGTGGCGCCCGGTCCCGGCCCTTGCGGTCCAGGTGCCCTGTGCCGCCGTAGCCACCACCGCCCCGCCGGGCGCTGAGGTCAGCGCGAGCTGTGTCCCCCGCCCTCGGGAACGTGCCTGGGCACGTCCAGGAGGACAGGCGAGGAGGAGGTGACTCACCGTGACCGGAGACCCCGGGCACGGCACCGGCGTGACAGCAGAACCGCGCCCGAGTTGGGGATGGCAGCCCAGGAGCCCCTTTCCCTGCCCGGGCACAGCCCCGTCCCTGCCCCGTCCCCTCCCCCGCGCGGCACAGTGACCTATTTGGCGGGCACAGTGTGTTCCCAGGGAACCCGGGACACGGGGAGGTCCGGGCCGCGGTGTCCGGTCCCCGCTCGGCGGCGCGCCCTCGGGGACGGGGAGACTGGGCGGACCCCGTGCGCCCTGCCAGCCCGGGGAGCGCAAAGGGTGCCGCCCACCGCGCCCACCGCGCCCGGGACCCGAGCGGGGCGCGAGGGGAGCCCGCCCAGCGGGGCAGCGGGGGTCCCAGCGCGGCGAGGCTTAACGGGGTGCCGCAGCCGGACGCCCCGGGGCCGGGGGACCCGGACCCCGTCCACACCCAGCGCGGGAAGGTCGCCGGGCCGGGCTGGCTTGAGTGCGTCCGCTAGGGCGCATCCATTCCACTTGGAAGCCCTAGGGCTGAGGGCGACCCCGGCCCCCTGGTCCGGCGGGAACGACTTGGGGCTTGGCTTTTGGGGGGCGCGCTGGCGGCTCCTTCCCTCCGGCCCTCCGGGTCCCCCTCCGTCGCGCTTCAGCGAGGACACTCCAGCGGTTTTCTGTTGTCCTCGCCCTCGTCTATTTTTATTTTCCAGGGATCTGACTCATCGCGTGCCCTGGGCGTGGGGATCAAGGTGGAGGGGGCCAGGGCCAGGAGCACTGGTTTTCTCTGCCCGGGAGAGTGCGTGTGAGCGTGCATGCGTGTGTGCGCGCGCGCGCGCTGGGTTCCCAGCCCAGGCCGGAGTTTGGGAAGCCCGGGCTCCTCGTGACGTGTCTGCGGCCCGGGGTCCCCCTCCTCCCCTCCTCTCTCCCCGCCCCGGGGTGACGCGCGGCTCCGGTGCCCGTGGAGTTTTTGCGGGCGGGCCGCGCCGGGCAGGAAACTGACTCACCACGCCTCGCTCGGCCCACGCAGCGCCCCCGCGCGGGGGCCGTTTCCTGGGGGCTCGGCGCCCCCTGCCGGCCGCCGCGGGAACAGCAAGGGCCGCCTGTGCGCGGCCAGTGCTTCCCCCCCACACACCGCGGCCTTTAAAGAGAGCCATTCTCGCCCTGGATTGTGTTTAGGGAATTAGGGTACGCGCGGCCGCCGGCGAAGGGAGGCTTTGCTTCTGTGGAATGAGGGCTTACGGTAGCAATGGTTTTGAGCAGGGTGCGCGGGAGGACTATGGGGGCGTGGCCCTTGGAGACAAGGTGGGGCGCCCTGTACGCTTGCAGGGATTCTGGTCCCCCCCCCCATCTTTGGCAGGGCACTTCCGTGTGTCTAAGGAACACTGGGACCATTGGTGTCCTGCCTTCCTGCCTCCTCTGGTCTCTATGGGTGCCCTCTGGGGAAGGCACCGAACTGGGTTTTGGACTCAGTTTGTCTGCAGACCTGAGCCCTGTCTCCACCAGCCTGTGTTTCTGTATCTGTACCCATGGCTGCCTTCCTATTTTTTTCATTCTCTGTGTGTGTATGTGTGTGTGTCAGAGGGAGAGAGACAGCGTCTTACTCTGTAGCCCCAGCTAGCCATTACTGGCTATGTAGTTCTGTAGACCAGGCTGGCCCGGTGGCCCAGAACTCCTACTAGAGATCCACCTGCCTTGGCCGGAGTGCTGAGATTAAAGGCCCTCGCTGTAACAAGGGGCTCAATCTATATTTAAAAAAAGAAAGAAAGAAGGAAAAAGCTTTCCCAAGTGGTTCTAATGGATCTCTCTGCTTGTGACCCTCAAAAAGACTAGAGCAAATGGATTAAAATCCCCTCGAGTCACGTGTGAGCCCCGTGACTTTGGACACCTTATCTAGTTTCTGAGCCTCGGCTAGTTCTGCCTAAAAAGGAAGTGAGCTCAGCATCCACTAACAATAGGTGTGGGGGCTCACATCTGTGATCCCAGCACAGGGGAGGCTGAGGCAGGAGGATGACTGTGAGTTCAGGCCACCCTGGCCTACATAGTGAGTCCCTGCCTCGGATACATCAGAAGGGTGGGGGAAGGCAGAAAGAGAAAGGAACTGGTATCACCAGGTTTTGGGAAGCATGGAACTTGTAAACTGCTTAGCTTTGCATTAGGAAAAAAAATGTGACTAGAGCCCAAACCACAGCAGGGCATGGTGGTGTACACCTTTAATCCCAGCACTCCCAGAGGCAGAGGCAGGTGGATCGCTGGGAGTTCACGGACAGCCTGCTCTACAAAGTGAGTCCAGGACAGCCAGGGTTACGCAGGGAAACCCTGTCTTGGGGGGAAAAAAAAACCCCAAATAACATAACAAACAAAAATTAGAGCCCAAATCCTGCTGAAGCAGAGGCCGTCCTGAGACCCTTCCCACAGCACCATGGGACCCCTTCCAGGGCGGTGGGCCGCTTAGTCCTGTGTTTGTTTTAGAGACCAAGGTCTCACTCTGTAGACCAGGCTTGCTCTGGACTCAGGGAGATCATCTTGCCTCTGCCCCCCAAACGCCGTGTTTTGGGGAGGAGGGTGTATCTTACTTACTTACGTTTTGAAAGGGTGTTTAGCCCACAACGCTGGTATACATTCCCTGGGTAGTAGGCAAGCTTGACCCTGAACCTCTGCTTGCCCCACCACACCCAACTTTATAGAGGCCGCCTTGCTTGCTGGGCACAGGCTTTGCCAACTGAGCCCCAAGTCTCTTCTGGCTTCCTGCCTTGAATCCTGATCTGAGTACCTCCCTCTCCCTTCCAGCCGTGGGCAAACTCATCCAGAGGTCCTGAGGAGCTGGGGGGGGGGTGTATGTGGTGCGAGTTCAGGGCCTCTTGCCTCAGAAAACCACCGGGCACACCCTACAAGCTCAAAGGCTGGCAGGCTGGACCAGTGCCCAGGAGAGCCCAGGTCCTCCTTAGGACCTGTATCACCTAGCTCTGGCATCGGGCCAGGGCAGGCGGGATCAGCCTGGGCCTCTCAGCCAGGCCTCTCTCCTGGACGAGCCGGGCCAACCTTCCATTCTCAGGGCCTGCAAAACGGGTTCCCTGGGCACAGGCTGTAGGCCGGGCCGTGTCTAGACTGCAGATTACCTGAGCTGCCTGGCAGGATGTGCTGAGCCCGGGAGAGAGACAGAAGCCCTGCCAGCCTGTCCTCTCTCCCCCAGGCTGCTGCCTACCAGCCTGTAGCGCAGGCTGCGGTGGCGGCCCTCAGGGACGGGGTCAGGGAGGACCCTCCGTCAAAACTGGGGGCAGAGAGGCATGCTCCAGCTTCTATTTCCCAGGCTCACCCACGCTGACTGAGTTCATCTTCACATCTGCCCTCAAGCGGGACCCAGGTGTTAGGGGTCATAGCCGCGCTCACCAGCAGAGTCTTGCTTCTGACCTAGGCAGCCTGGCTCCAGCCTGTCCTCTCCTCCCTCCAAGCCACCTTAACAGCTGCCCGAGCATGAGAGACGAGGGAGGGACGGAGTTGCAGAATCAGGCTCTTAGATGGAGCTAAATAGCAGCAAAGATGCTACGGTTTATGTGTCTTACCCCAAGGTCCGGGGTGCTTTTGATTGGCAGGATGGAGTTACCCCCCCAAGGGCAGGAGGACAGGGCACCGAGGCATGCCCAGGTGCGCGGGGGGTGGGGTGTGTTTGGGAAGCCACCGGACCTCGGCAGTCCACACGTACTCGGGGTGTTCGCGCCCGCGAAGGACACTTCAGCAATAGACATCGATTTTGGCTGATCGCAGTCCTGCTGGTAAACAGGGCGGTGACCCCCGCTGTGGCAGCCGTGACCTTGGGGCGAGGGGCGGTGGGGAAAGCCCCGGGCGGAGGAGCAGCAGGACGGTGGTACCTGGCCGTCTCCATAGCGACCTGGCTCTCTGTTCCAGCGGGCGCCATGTCTGAGGCCGAGGACCCCCGAGCGACCCCGCACCGGAGCAAGGCGTGCCGCCGCCTCTTCGGGCCGGTGGACAGCGAGCAGCTGCGCCGGGACTGCGAGGCGCTCATGGCCGGCTGCCTGCGCGAGGCCCGGGAGCGGTGGAACTTCGACTTCGCCACCGAGACGCCGCTGGAGGGCAACTTCGTGTGGGAGCGGGTTCGCGGCCCGGGGCTGCCCAAGCTCTACCTGAGCCCCGGCTCCCGCGGCGGCCGCGATGACCTGGGAGGGGACAAGAGGCCCGGCCCCTCCTCCGCCCTGCTGCAGGGCCCGGCCCCGCAGGACCACGTGGACCTGTCGCTGTCCTGCGCCCTGGTGCCCCACGCCCCGGAGCGGCCCGAAGATTCCCCGGGTGGCCTCGGGGCGTCCCAGGGCCGCAAGCGGAGGCAGACCAGCCTGACAGGTAGGGAGGCCCCGGGAGGGAGGCCTGCGCAGGGAGGCCCCCGGCTAGGAGGTGAAGTGTCCTGGGCGTCCCCACCGCCCTCAGCCTCCCGCCTGTTCTTCTCCACAGATTTCTATCACTCCAAGCGTCGGCTGGTCTTCTGCAAGAAGAAGCCCTGATGTGTCCACGGGAGCCTCGCGTCCTCTTCTGCCGTGGGCCGGGAGACCCCTACCCCCTCCTCCATCCTGTGCCTCAGCCCCGCCCTCACTCTGTGTGTCTTAATTATTATTTGTGTTTTAATTTAAGCTTCTCCTGTATATACTCTGCCTGCCCTCTCCAAGCCCCCAGCCTAGAGTTATTTAAAAAACAAACAAACGGTAAATCAGCAGGACGATAGGTCCCCTTAGTGCCAGGGGTTTTTATTATGTGGACTATTATTTAAGCCCTTCTCAACCCAAGCTCTGTGTTTCCTGTCCCGCAGGGAAGGTCTGCCTGGCATCGGCCATCTGCGCCCTTCTCCACCCCCCCATCTCCCTCCACCCCCTGCCAAGGGGTACTCCCCTAAAATGGCCCAGCTCCTTGCCACTTGTTCATGCGGTGATCCTCAGACCTGAATAGCACTTTGAAGGGGGACCAGCTCAGTAGGACTTTGGGGTCTCCTTGTCACCTCTCAGGCCGGTCAAGGTGACGATGAAGTGGTCACAGCCTGGAACAGGGATGAGGTTTAGCCTGGTTAGGCCCCGACCGTAACGTCCTGGCCCTTGACATTCACTCAGACCTGTGAAGACAGGGGGAACCCCCACACACACTCTGGGTCCCCTTTGCCACCCTGCCTCCCCCATGGGCCCCTCTGCTAGGTGCCCCTCTCTTTCTGGGGTTCATCTGGCGCTCTACTGCTCTTTCCCTCTTTCGGAGGGTCAGCAGGAGGCATCTCTCTGGGCGTGTGCCCGTAGCTCAGTGGCCGGAAGGGAAGGGGTGCTCCTAGGCAGGGTTCCTACCTCAGGGGGCTCCCTGTGGCACTGCTGTGCAGTGGGGGGCTTTCTCTGGGACGGGGTCCTCACATGCCTCAGTACTTTGAGTAGCACTTGTACAGGGAGCCAGGCGGAGACGGTCCCCCCTCCCCCCGGCACAGCGGGCTAGCAGGGGACAGAACAGCCGCTGACCCTTTCCCAGTATTGAACACTGAGCCCCCGTGGCCACCGAAGCACTTAGTGGGTCTAACCCCCGCCCTAAACACCCCTGTTTCTGTAACCTCCTGGTCTGGACTGTTCACCCTCGGCCTCCACGCCCCCGCCCCCGCCCCGCCAACCCGAGAATGTGTATTTTGGGCCCCTCCTTGTCTCCACTCAGACTGTAAAGCTCCCGAGAGCAGGGCCCCACCCTGCGCCCTTCCCACCCCACCACGAACCAGGTGCTCAATAAATACTTGTGGATGGCTTGTAACGACTTGTCATTAGAGTGAGTTGGGGGAGCATTTGGGCGGGCCGGCTGTTTGCTGTGTGTTTACGCGCCTGCCGTGCTCGTGTGTGTGCTATGCGGAGGGTGTCTGTGTCTACAAGCGCACATACATGCAATATATTTTTTTCCCCCAGTGCTGGGAATTGAACTCCGGACCTCCGGAAGAGCAGCCAGTGCTCATAACTGCTGAGCCCTCTCTCCAGCCCCTGGCCCTTTGTTTTTCATTTTCAGGCTTAAGTTTGTGGGATTTTTTTCCCCCCCGTTTGATAAGAAAATGTTCCCATTTTCAATTTAATCTCACAGGAGTATCTCTTTAAATTTTGAAGAAATTATGTGTTTTTTATTTCTGTGTGCATGTTGTGTGTGGACGCACACGTACTGTCTGGCGAATCTCTCTCGGAGGCTCTGTCAACAAACCCAGGTGGTCAGAATTGGTGGCGAGAATCTTTACCCACTGAGCTGTCTTGCTGGCCCAGGAAAGATCCCAATTAAGTTTTTAAAAGTTCATCTTTCTGTCCCCCAACTGTGTGTATGATGGATTTCAGTCCCCCCTCACTTACTGTTACCTGATAAGTTGCTTAGACGGGGCTTGAACTTGCGACTGTGCTTCAGCCTCCTGAGGAGCTGGGGCTACAGGCCCTGTCACCTGCGCAGACGCCTTCAGCGGAGCCAGCAGGATGGTGCCTGTCGCCAGACCTGGCTATGTATGTTTGATCCCTAGGACTCATGTGATAGGTGACACACACAGTTGTTCTCTGACCACATGTATGTGTGTGTACATACATGTGTTCACACACAGACACACACAACCTCCTGGATAAGGTTTTTTGTTTTGTTTTCTTTTTTTCATTTTCTTCTTCTTGACAGGGTTTCCCTGTGTAGCCCTGGCTGTCCTAGAACTCACTCTGTAGACCAGGCTGGCCTCGAACTCAGAGATCCGCCTGCCTCTGCCTCTCAAGTGCTGGGACTAAAGGCGTGCGCCACCACATCTGGCTTATTCTGGATAGTTTTGTGTCAACTTGACACAAGCTGAAGTCGTTCGAGAGGCGGGAGCCTCAGTGAAGAACAAGCCTCCATCAACAAGGTCAGGCTGTGGCGAGGCTGTCCAGCCGTTCTCAACCTCCCCAACGCTGCGACCCTTGAATACCGTTTCTTAGGTTGTGACCCCAGCCATAAATTAAACTGTCGTGAATCACCATGTAGATATCTGTGTTTTCCGGTGGTCTTAGGTGACCCCAACAAGCCCCACCCCCACGAAAGGGGTTGGGACCCACAGGTTGAGAACGGTCCTGGGTTCTATGAGAAGGCACGCTGAGCAAGACATGGGGAGAAAGCCAGTAGGCAGCACCCTCCGTGGCCTCTGCCTCAGCTCCTGCCTCCAGGCTCCTACCCTGCTTGAGTTCCTGTCCTGACCTCCTTCAGTGAGGGACAGTGCTGTGGAGGTGTCAGCCCAGTAAACTCCTCTCTAAGTTGTTTTGGTCATGGGGTTTCATTACAGCAACAGAAACCCTAATGAGGACAAAATAAAGGTGAAAATAATGAAAATATCTTGACTTTGCTTCTTTTTTTAATTTATTTATTTTTAGTTTATGTGAATTGGTGTTTTGCCTGCATGTATCTGATCTTGGAGTTACAGAGAGTTGTGAGCTGCCATGTGGGTGCTGGGAATTGAACCCAGGTCCTCTGGAAGAGCAGTCAGTGCTCTTAACCACTGAGCCACCTCTCCAGCCCCTTCTTTTTTTATTTTATGTGTATGAGCGTTTGCCTACGCGTGTGTATCTGTGCACTCTGTGTGTGCCGGGGCCAGCAGAGGAGGACATCAGCTCCCCTTGAGCTGGCATTTCAGATGGTTGTGCACTGCCAGGTGGGCATTGGGAAGCAAACCCAGGTTCTCTGCAAGAACAAGCGCTCCTAGCTCAGAAGCCATCTATCTCTCCAGCTCTTGTCTTTTGCGACAGGGTCTCACTGTGTAGCCCGGGCTGGGGTCCAGTTGGCTATATAAGCCAAGGCTGGCATTGAACGCTGATCCTCCTGCCCAGCTGTCTTAGATGGTTTGTACCATTTGAACCAACCTTCACCTCTGGCAACAAACTGAAGTCCCAGACCCAAGGTCACTCCCCTCCGGAGCGTCAGAACTCTAGAGATCCAGCTCGAGGTCTGCGGACCACACAGCCTGCTTGGTAAACAGGGTAAAAATAAAAAGCAGAAGTGGCCAGGGCTCCACGTGGGGATTCTCGGGGCCCACTGTGCCCTTTGAAATCTTTGACGTATTGTAGGCTTTCTCAATGTTCCGGAAACGGCGGCCCAGATGCTATCTGGTCCCACCTCCTGCGGCCCTCCTGCCCACCCAGGCTCCCGCTAGGCGGATTTTGGAACTGGCAGCTGGAGGGGGGACCGAGGGGGCTTTCTCCACCGCACCCTGGGACAGACAGTGTCTGCATCGGGGTTCACCGCGTTGACAAGAAGCCGAGCGAGCTGTGGGGAACTGGAGACGAGCCTGGAAGCCTTCTTGGCTGTGAGGGGCTCTCAGGGCCTCTCTGCTCATCCATTCCAGTCAGTAAAAGTTTATTCTCAGGTCCAGCGACACTGGGTTTTAGAACGTTAATTATTATTATTTCTTCATTTTAACCCTTATTTCCTGGCTTGCATGAAGCCTTCTACCACATGGTGGAACGAGACGCCCTCACGTTGTCCTCTGTCCATGGTTTGCACATGTGACCTTGGCATGAGCCCAAGGATCTGGGACCAGCCACAAGGTAGAAGGTAGAACTGACTCCTGCAAGTTGCCCTCTGACCTCCAGGTATGAGCTGTGGCTACCTATGCACCCCTTCACCCCTCCACACACACATAAGCCCCACACAAATATTTGCATACACAAAATAAGTAAATTAATAAGTGTGATACAATGTTCTTTCCTTTTCTTTCTTTTTCTTTTCTTTTTTTTTTTTTTTTTTTTTTTTGGTTTTTCAAGACAGGGTTTCTCTGTGCAGCCCTGGCTGTCCTTGAACTCACTCTGTAGACCAGGCTGGCCTCGAACTCACAGAGCTCCACCTGCCTCTGCCTCCCAGGCATGCACCACCACTGCCTCGATAAGTGTAATAATTTTTTAAAAAATGACTAGAACTTACACCTACCTGATTTGCTTTTAGAATTAGAGCACCCTGGCTGCAGGGCCCTAATCCATCTGTCCTAACAACTAACTCAATACCTCATTTCTTCACTTATTTGGAATTCGATGTCTTTATCATTCACGAAGCTCTTACACGTTTATATGGCTGGTCTTTCTACTTTGTGGGTTCTTTTTCCCCACCCTATAGCCCCCCCCCCCGTTTCACCCCCTACCATTAGATAAGAGATCCTGGAATCGAATTTCTTCTTGTTTCGTCTTTGAGCACTGCTACAACAAACTGCAGCCCCCTCACACCCCTAACGACCACCAGCGCCTCTCAGGGCCCTAGCGTTCACACACCCTCTGAAAAGTTCCCAGAATTCCAAATGCCACAGAGCCGCAGAAACTGTCTGCAGCTGGCACAACCACGCCTCTGCTGGAGCACGAGGCAAAGCACGGTCGGCTGCTGTGGACAGTCCGAAGCAGCCCCACATCCCCACACCCGGGGTTAAAACGTAAACGCACTCTTATACATTTCTGTGTTTTTAAAGAAACCAAATTTCCCGTTTTTCACTACATATTGGAGTCTATTACTGTCTATTTACTGCTTCTTTTTCCTTCTTTCCTTTTTTTTTTTTTTTCTCCCCAAGGCAAAGCCTAACCGTGTAGCCCAGGCTGGCTCTGAAGCCAGATCCCCCTGCATCACTCAGATTCTAGGATGGAAGCTGCACACCAGGCCCGCCTCATTCATTCTCATCCATCCCCGGCGTCCTCCAGCTGCCTCCGTCCTCCGCCTGCCTCCATGCTCCAGGACCACGCTGTTGCCATGATTGTGACTGCACAAAACTTCGCTGTTAGCTTAGTCTGTCTCCTGAGAAGGGAGAGCTCCCCCTCTGGGTCAGATCCTCTGTCCCTGGGCGAGGACCCGAGCTGAGGTGGCATCATTTTCTGCACTAGCTATAGCTCTCCTGACTGATCCTCCTGCTGGGCTTGAGGACACTCTGGCAGGAAACTGAGGGCCACGTCCTGGCCTTGTTACTGCAAGGCTGGGTGTGGAACATACCAACACACACACACACCAACATACACACACACCAACACACACACACACACACACACACACACACACACACACACACACAGCCTATGCTCAGAGTCCCTCCCCAGCCCCAGCTTTCTGCTGTAGTTCCAGGATCTAGGGCATCAGGCAAGCGAGAAGAGCAAGGGCCCCTTTCTACGGGAAGTTTGCTAGATGAGGACAGGAGATCGGGCAGCCAGGGAGCGGAAAGGGGCGGTTGGGCAAGAGACTGTTGACGGTTGAAGAGAGCGTGGGCTCTGTGGGCAGCGGACAGTACCCTATTCACCAGGACCAGGAGCACCAGACTGTAGACATCAGAGAGGTAGGCTCATGCAGTTATTCTTTCTTCCTTCCTTCCTTCCTTCCTTCCTTCCTTCCTTCCTTCCTTCCTTCCTTCCAGGCAGGGTCTCTCTGTGTAGCCCTGGCCGGCCTTGAACTCAGAGATCCGCCCACCTCTGCCTCTTAAATTCTGGGAATAAATGAGATGCTGTTCAAGGCTGGCCTTGAACTTCCCTGTGTAGACAGGGGTGACCTTGAACTCTTGGCCTTCCTGCCTCCACCTTCGGGAGTGCTAGGATTGTACTCCAGCTCCCATCCAGCTTCCATGCTTGTGACAGGGGCTCAAAGCTGAGCTTCTGCTCGGTGTCACCGAGGGGCCCAGGCCGTGCATGTGATCTCCGGGCAGTGAGAAGTAGACCGGGGCTTTGCGACCCCGAGTGGCAGGTCTTCTGGCTTCTGAGAGCCCCGGTTCTCTGGTGGTTAGTGAGTGAAGGTGGTTCTTGGGGCGCTGGCGGGGGCCACCATGTCACACTGCGCTGACTCAGTTTCTCACCTCTCTGAGGGGTGGGGCTGGGAGGCCCTTCGGCCCTGGCAGGTGGCAGTGTCCCCGTGTCCCCTGCTCTTCCGCTCTTACTTCCCCTCGGGTTCTGAGTGACAGGCCCAGGGCACTGCTCTGCTGGCTGACACCCCCATCGTGGGGAGGCCAGTCCTGAGGGGGCGCAGAGGCCAAGGCAGGGACAGGCGCGTGGGTGCAGAGGGACCCTACGGTTGGCCTGAGGGGCAGGGTGACCGCAGGAGGGGCCTAAGCGGTCACCAAGGGAAGGGGGAAGGGCGCTGTCTGAGCTGAGTGTGAGGGGAGAGAGATGATAACTGAGGAGGGAGAGACAGAGACAGAGATAGACAGAGAGATGTTCAGATGTGGAGGTTTTTGGTGGCCGCTCCTGCCCACGAGAGGGGCACAGACTGATTTGGGGCCCACAGTTAAGGGGGAGGGACACAGACACCGTGGCCTGTGGTGACCAGTGTTCTGACATCCTCCTGCCTCTGTCTCCGGAGTGCTGGGATTAAAGGTGTGTGACACACACACACACACACACACACACACACAACCAAAACAAACAAAAACTGTGCCGCCACACCTGGCTCCAATGACAGCTTCTAAAAGAGGGTCCAGTCGCGACTCTAACGCCTTCAGCGCTGGGTCACTTCTCGTGGGCAAAGGACGCAGTCTGCGAGGTTTCCTACTTGTTCCCAGAGCAGTTTTCAAAACTCCACTTTCGTTTAGCGTGTGTGTGAGTGTGTGTGTGTCTGTGTGAGTGTGTGTTTGTGTGTGTCTGTGAGTGTGTATCTGTGTCTGTGTGAGTGTGTGTTTGTGTGTGTCTGTGTGAGTGTCTGTGTGTGTCTGTGTGAGTGTGTATCTGTGTCTGTGTCTATGTGAGTGTGTGTTAGTGCGTGTCTGTGTGTTAGTGTGTGTCTGTGTGAGTGTATATCTGTGTGTCTGTGTCTATGTGAGTGTGTGTTAGTGCGTGTCTGTGTGTTAGTGT